TATATATATATATATATTACGTCTCTGGTTTTACAGAACAACTGCAAATACATGTGATTTAAGACACACTAAAACTACTTTCTATGGTTTACAACAAATAATGTGGTCAGTACTTATTCTTGCTCCAGCTTGCAAATGTGGAGTTCTTTTAATGTAATGTACTGTGCAGGTCATGCTTATTCCTTTGTTATTTTCCATTCTGTTTAAATATATTTTGTAATGATAATCCATATCCCTCTCCCTTTTGGTCAGTTTTTGTTCATTTGACACCTCAACTTTCCACACTGATTTGCTTATATGTTTTCTGTTTTGAATGACACCTTTCATGTGAAGCTTGAAGTTTCACTTATTTTGCATGTGAACAAACAATATTTCAGGCATTCCTGTAATTTTACATTTCCGGGAAATATGATATATTGTGCATACACAACTATAGTTCTTTTTTTGTCTCTGTAACTAGCTTAGACCGTATTTTAGACAGCACTTCAACACAAAACAATAGTTTGACTTTTGTTTTCTTATTTGTTAAATACAATTTCATGTATATTATATTATATTATATTATATTATATTATATTATATTATATTATATTATATTATATTATATTATATTATATTATATTATATTATATTATATTATATTATATTATATTATATTATATTATATTATATTATATTATATTATATTATATTATATTATATTATATTATATTATATTATATTATATTATATTATATTATATTATATTATATTATATTATATTATATTATATTATATTATATTATATTATATTATATTATATTATATTATATTATATTATATTATATTATATTATATTATATTATATTATATTATATTATATTATATTATATTATATTATATTATATTATATTATATTATATTATATTATATTATATTATATTATACATGGCATTTCGACACCAATCAAATTAATCCGCAGGTACACCTCTCAGCCAATAGCTGCCGACCGTTTCAGTCCGAGTCTGAACCAATAGAAGGCAGGATCTGTCTGAAGTCGTCCAATCAGAGCGGAGCTTTGGCCCCAGTTCGCCTACAACGACGGTCGGACGTCTGTAACTCAGAGTTGAAGAAATACCAGGCGAAAAAGAAAAGGTATGATCTCGATTTATCGCAAAAATAGATATTAAAAGCAAATGTGAAACAGTTTTTTGGCAGTAGCTTATTTAAACTGGTCTCAGTGAAGCATACGGTAGAGCTTTATGATCTCTTCGCTTGTTTGTGTGGTTTGACTAAACTTTCTCAGTCTTTGTCTTATCTCTGTAATGACAAACAGCAAAATGTGTACTTTTATTTTTTTTCGTCGCAGATGAGGATATTTTTTGTCGGTGTTGGTGAAATACGACGAGTAAAATAAGTTTGTCGTAGCAGAGATTTTGATCTTGGTTCCATGCAGATTTATCTCATTAACTTACATTACACAACTCCAGAGTTTATTTCGGCTTTTCATTTGATCGTTTTTAGCGTTTTTGCATTATCTCAATGTTGCATCCTGCAATGAAAGAGTTATTTTCATTACTAAAACCAAAAAAAAAAAAAAAAGGTTAATGGTCACTGATCATTGGTTTATTCAGCTGTAGGAATTGCTTAAACTCATGGATGAAGTATTTCGTCTCAAATGTTAACTTCATTCCTATGAGGGGAAATGGGTCAGTTTGGATCACAGCTTGTAAGTGAGCCTGTGCTTTGAAGGCATTCCAGTCAAATTACTTAAACCAACCTGTTGCATTAAAGAGCCAGAAACATTCTGAATGATGTTGGCTTTAGTGAATGTTATTCTCAGTTGTCCCTGTTGCTTTAGAGATCAAGAGAGTTAAAGTGGAGCTTGTTTGAGTTGGTCGTGTTGCATTGACGCCTCTAGTGTTAACTAGACCTCATGCAAAGTCACTGCTAAATTTGGCAGTACATTAGTATTTTGTAAAGGCTAATGTGAGCTTGTGGTCATTTCACTGCTATTGAGCTGGCCAGTCATGACAGGAACTTTATGTATGAAGTGTCATATGAAAGAAAGGGAATTGGATCACCCTATTTTAGTGTAAATATTAATTGTCATCGGATTTTTTGAACATGTGAAGCAGCTTTGAATGTTTGACAATCAGTCAGTCAAGGCTGACAATAAATACATCAGCTCTGATTGACTCATGCCTGTCCTTTAAAGTTGGCATGAAATGGAAATGCTTATTTTTTTTCTAAACGCATCTCATTGATCTTATTGCGAATGATTCATCCATGCATGGTTTGTTTTAAATTATATTTTATAGCTTGACATTTTTACTCTGATGTACGTCACAATACATAACAAAAGATCTGTCGATACACTTTAAATAATGACGGAATAATCTGTTTGTTGAACACTTACTTAGATGATTGATATTTTAATGATATTTAACTTTTCCACTTATCTGGATATTGGTACTTTAATATCGAGTTTATTAAAAATGAGACATAAGCTCAAAAACAAGGATGGACTCGACAAGTGGAAAACAAATGTGCAAAGTCTTTCAAAAGAGTCTTGTAAAAAATATATTTAAATATATAAATGTTTATATATCTATATTTATATATAGATGTTTATAGATTAATGATTTGGGTTGTTTTGGTTTTTATCCGTTGGTATGGTTTAGTACCAGGAATAAAATAATAATTCATATCTGTGCATTGACTATCATAACATTAATACAATGAATGATGTACCCGTCATAAATTATATTCTTGTCTTTATATTGCTATCTCTGCAGATCTGGTTTCTTCTGTTTTCATAATAAATTTCATATCATTATGTAATTTCTTTGATTGTTCTGTTGTCTCCAGGCAGGGGTGTGTATATGTGTGTGAGAGAGGGGGTAGGCTGCATTGGGAGCAGCTATGGGTGAGATCGAGGGCACCTACCGCTCCTTGCAGACCCCTGCGGGGACACGGCTCGGAGCTCAGTACAACACCGGCATCAGCACCCTGGAGCCCGGGCAGAGCCTCAGTTCAGCTTTAGGAGCTGGAGGGAAAGGCCACAACAAGAGCCTGCAGATCCGCGTCCAGGGCCTGGATGATGCTCAGGAGTTCTATGAGCTCGAGGTGAGTCACTTCACATCAACTCAGTTTTTTGTCTCTGTTCATCTCCATTAGGGCTTGACAATAATTCAATATCAATATGTATCGCGATATAATTTTTTTTCAATAACGGTGATATGATTTTTAAACACATTTCCGATATTTCGATATACATTACCAGTGTTTCCCATACATTGATTTATTTGTGCCATTTGACTTCGTTGAATAAACATGAGCACTGCACGTTTCAAAATCATAACACGGTGCAGGTGTTTTATATGAATGTATCTCTGAAGGGAACCGACTGTCTTCAGAGAAGTTTAGATGGCATTTTTATCTGATAAAGTAGCGTTCATGTGCGGAGCTGCTGTGATTACAGCCATTACTGGAGAAACCGCTAGTTTTATCACTCTAAAAGTGCCTCCTGCTGGCAGAGAATGAGTTTTCATTTTAAATTAGCCAGTCTCCAGCAACATTTCCAGTTTTTGTTGTTGTTCAATTTTTTTGTTTTCTGCAGCGACTCGGAGCACTTTTCATACCCTTTTTTCTGGCTGAAGCACATTTGTTTCAATCTATAAGAATAATCAGCCTACACTACCAGTCAAAAGTTTTTTTTAAAGAATTCTGCATTTATTTGATCCAAAGTACAGCAAAAACTGTAAAATGTTGAAATATTTTTACTATTTAAAATTGCTTTCTATTTGAATAGATTTTAAAATGTAATTTATTCCTGTGATCATACACAGCTGTATTTTCAGCATCGTTACTCCAGTCTTCAGTGCCACATGATCTTCAGAAATCATTCTAATATGCTGATCTGCTGATTTCATTTTTTTTCAGGATTCTTTGATGAATAGAAAGATCCAAAGATCAGCATTTATCTGAAATAAAAAGCTTTTGTAACGTTATACACTATTCCATTCAGTATAATTTTTATAATTTTTTTGGGAAAGAAATTATAGAAATTAATACTTTTATTTAGCAAGGATGCTTAAAATTGATCAAAAGTGATGATAAAAGCATTTATAATGTTACAAAAGATTTCTATTTCAGATAAATAGTGTTCATATCGATATCGGAATTATATCGTATCGACCGAAATTAAGAAATGTATCGTGATATCAATTTTGGCCATATCGTCCAGCCCTAATCTCCATATAGGTCTACGTGAGAGATCCTGCATTTTTTATATATTTGTGATGAATTTGTCACAAATATAAAATATAGGCTAGTGTCTTTTAATGGGCTTTTTATTTGCCCAGCATGGTACACTATCATTTAAAAGCTTGGGGTCTGTAAGATTTGTTTTTTGCTCACCAATGCTGCATGTTTAATCAAAAATACAGTTAAAACCATGAAATGATGTGTGAAATATTTATAGCTTAAAATAGCTTTTCTAATTTAATATATTTTAAAATGTAACTTATTCCTGTGGTGGCAAAACTGAAATTTCAGCAGCCATTACTCCAGTTTTCAGTGTGTGTGTATATATATATATATATATATATATATATTACATACATACATACACTGACCCCAGTCTTTTTGATTGTCCATTCAATGACTGTTTAATCAATCAGTTCAAAATTTTGATTCACCTTTGTTTTTGTCATCAAAAATGTTAATTTTCCATGTTGCATTTGACATATGTTTTATATTGCTTATATATTTTTATATTGGTGCACTGCATAAAAATTTGTATAATAATTAAATATAACTCTTCCCTGTATTTATTTCACAAAAACAGTGTAGAAAAACATGCCTTGATTTATTTTTTAACTAGATTTGTATTGTAGTTTACTTGCTTTTTTTTATTAAACCAAATTAAATCTTTTGAATCTACTTAATTACATTGGCTGGTTGAACTGTTGAAAATGATGCATATCACATATTGCTACACCCTGAACATACTTCCATGGTTGTCTGGTTAATTGTTTGCCTGGAGGTTTTGTTTGTTTGATTCCGCTGCACAAATATTGTACTTCTGCTATTATGTTTGCAAAGCTACCCAAAGTTTATTTAAAAATAAGCGCACACTGTAGCCAGCACACTGTGTTTGGTTTTGTCCATTTGCGGCTGTGCTGGAGAATGTAAACGACCGTCTCTCCGGAGACCTCTGGCAGTCTTGCTGTGCGTGTCAGGTTGTGGTGGGTGACAGCTGCCACATGGCTTTAGCACTTAAATCCTACATCTATAAGTCTGTTTTACACACGAGGCCTGAAGTCACTTTCTAAGTTCTAGCCTGGCTGTAGTTACACATCTGACGTGCATTTTCTGCCTTGATGTTCTGTTTTTATCACAATGGGTACAAATGAAAAAGCTAAGGTTTTCGGTGAAGATGCATTGATTAAATTTCCTACAATATGACGCCAGCATTTGAATGCAAAATCACATGGACACGGAGAAATTTAGGATTGTTTGGGTTTGTGCACTTTTGAGATGAGCAGTGTTGCTTTTAAAACACTTTTATTGTTGAGAGCTGCTTAATCAGGGACAAGAAATAATTAACTGGCTTTACAGTGACCACCTGAATAATCCTTGGGCCATCCAAAATGTAGATGAGTTGGTTGGTTTCTTCTTAATCTGTACAAATTTGGAGAAATTTAGCATCACCTCACGTTCTCACCAATGGATCCTCTGAAGTGAATGGATGCCATTAGAATGAGAGTTCAAACCGCTTATAAAAACATCTCAATAATCCATAACACATCCACTCCAGTTAATCAATTAGCATCTTGTGACGTGAAAAGCTGCATGTTTGTAATAAATAAATCCATCATTAGGAAGTTTTTAACTTCAAATAACTGCTTCCGGCTAAAATACGAGTCTATCGCTTTCTCCTGGGAAAAAGTCATCTCTTCCAAATCAGAAGAGAAATATGCTCAGATATTGCACTGTTTATTGGTGGCATCAGTTCTAAGCAATGTTGGTGTATCGTTCTTACAAACACAGCTTTTCACTTCACAAGGCGTTAATTGATGGACTGGAGCCATGTGGATTACTTGTGGATCATTGTGATGTTTTTATCAGCTGTTTGAACGCTCATTCTGACGGCACCCATTCACTGCACAAGATTCACTGGTGGTCAAGTGATGTAAAGCTAAATTTCTCCAAATCCAGGGATGGCCTGAGGTTGAGCACATTTTCAGCATATGCTCATTTTTGGGTGAAATATTCCTTTAACGTCTCTCTGGTTTGACATGGAGGATTAGCTAAATGTAGTGTTATAAGACCGTCTTAAGTGTTTTGGTGGAGGATGAGAACTTCCCATGATTAGATCAGATAACAATGCGCTTTGAATTCCCCTGTTTCAAAGATCAAACATGGGAGAGTGGAAAATGTTCATTATCCAGCTTTATTAGGCTACAGGCCTCTGGAATGCGGTGGTACCACCAAAAGACCCTGCTGGAGGTTAATGACTGTTCATATTACGTCTAGTTAATGGAAGAACAATGGGGTCAGTTCTGGTTCAAAGATGTATTACTCTCTCTAGTCATCCTCAGGAGTGCATTGGGACTTGTTTTCCATTACATTTAATTTAGCACTGCTGAGTGTGTTTGAATTGCGGTAGTGATTGATCTGTTGTCAGATGATGTGGATGTTTTATTAGGCAGATTGTGTGTAATGATTCATAAGGCAACGTGGCTTTGTGATCTGTTCCATGATGCACAAATCAGCGGTAATGCAGTCTGGTGTTGCTCACGAAAGGGGTTTGTTTATTCTCAGCAGGAGTGTGTGTGTGTGTGTGTGTGTGTGTGTGTGTGGGGGGGGGGGGGGGGGGCCCCGG